CCAGAGGTTTGGGATTGAACAGGTAGGAGAGTGGCATTGTCATCTACTGAGATGGGGACGCGGGAAGGTGAGTGAGTTTGGTAAGTTCAGCCATGTTAAGTCTGAGATGCAATTCGACATCCAAATAGGCAGTAGGATATACGAATCTGGTTTCGGAGGACAGATATGAGCACCCAGGGAATCATCAGCATATACATGTAAGCTATGAGATGGGGGTGAGATCATTAAAGGAGTGAGTGCAGGTAGAAAATAAAACATGTTCAAGGACAAAGCCCTGGGACATATTGATGTTTAGAGGTCAGAGAGATAAGAAATCTCACCAAAGAAAACTAAGGTAAGGGAGTGTAGCCATCTGGAAGCCAAATGAAAAAGGTGTTGTAAGGAGGACCTGTCACATACATCAAATCCTGCTGATACATGGAGTATAATCAAGACCAAGAATTAACCAGTGGATTGGAAATATGGAAGTTGTTGATGACCTTGGTAAGAGTAGCTTGAGTGGAATGCTGTGTAGATTGGAGTGGATTCAAGGAATAATGGTAAGAAAGAAATCAAGATATCAAGAATAAACTCTTTCAAGGAGATTTGTTATGATGGGAAGAATAGAAATGGAGTGGTAATTAGAAAGGAAAGGGAGGCCAAGGTGGGAGTTTAAGATGACGGACATAAGAGCTCGTATAGATGCCGATGGGAGTAATCTAGTACAGGATGGGAATGTGTTGGTATAGGATAGAGAAGAGAAAATTGTGTATTGCAGTATCCTTCAGCAGGTAAAAGAGGATGGAATCCAGTGTTTAAGAAGAGGGCTTGACCTTAACAGGAGCACTGATCCGTATCTCATGCCTGACAACAGGGGAAAACATGAGGTACAGGGTAGATGGTGGCAATGAGGAGACTCGCTTGAGGGTGCCTGTGGAAATGTTCTTTGGATTTCTTTCATTTTCTCAATGCAGTTGGAATTAAGGTTATCCACTGAGGACCAGGAGAGAAGTGAGGGAGGCTTGAGGAGAAAGATGGTGTAGACTTTTAGAAAACTTACCTAGGAGGGGCGCCTGGGTGGTGCAGTCGGTTAAGTGTCCGACTTCAGCCAGGTCACGATCTCGCGGTCCGGGAGTTCGAGCCCCGCGTCAGGCTCTGGGCTGATGGCTCAGAGCCTGGAGCCTGTTTCCGATTCTGTGTCTCCCTCTCTCTCTGCCCCTCCCCTGTTCATGCTCTGTCTCTCTCTGTCCCAAAAATAAATAAACGTTGAAAAAAAAAAATTTAAAAAAAAAGAAAACTTACCTAGGAGAAGAGTGGATGGAACTGGAAAATGAGGTATGACTGGTGGGAGGCCTCCAGGCTGACTGAAAAATGTGGACTGTGACTTTTAGATGAGACCAGTCAGTCCACTCGGTGGCATTTTTTACTTCAGCCACATTCTACTAGGCAGATGCAGGACCATGTTGCATTTCACCAGGGCTATGGTTTAGTTCTTAGTCCAGGGAATTTCAAGAGCAGGATGAAGAGGTTTGAGGTGGAATGCAAGGGAATGGTGGTCATGATTGCCCATGGTTTCCAGGTTGAGTGAGGAAGGAACCAGGCAGAGGTCGAGGACCAGGTCACGGTGTCTGAAGGATCATCTGTGTGTTAATGGAATGGACAAGATTCATGACAGCAGTTCCATAGTGTTGGCGTGGATGACAGTGAGCAGAGCCCAAGACCTTCAGGGAGTTGGAGAAGTGACTAAGGTGCATCGGCCCCTGCAGGAAAGATGGAGCGCAGGATCGGAAGGCATGAGCTTCACAGAGGAGGGATTTCAGAATGGACAGAGGAATGATGGTTTGAAAGTTGGGTAGGAGAACAACAGTGCCTTCCTACATCCCAGCAGAAAATAGCCCCTACTTGAGAGGACTGCAGGCCAAGTGATTCTTCAGGGGAGAGTCAGTTTCCAGTTAGAGTGAGGATGAAGGGGATGTTTCTGGAAGAGGCTAAGGATCTAGGGTGTTTTGCTGGTGACTGGTTAGGAGTTCAAAAGAGAGCCAGGGAGCAGTAGAGACTGAGGGATGAGGGAGTTCTAGGCTTCTTTGGTGACTTCCTATGGAATTCAAAGTCCCAACCCAGCAAGGTCTCACCTGTGAGCATCCAGCGTCTTCCTGCTCCCAGGCCCTGAGTGTGGCCCCATTAACGTTCTGGGTTCTCTTGACAAGTAGACAGCATCGTGGCCCCTCCTGTTACCGTTCTCTCTTTGATACCTGGTTTGCATCCAGCCAGAGCAGTGTATTGCTGTGTTCTCACCCTAAGGAAGTCCTCATACCCATGCTGATTGTGGTGGCCTCCCTCACAGTGCTTCAGTGGGGTCTATTGAAGAGGAGAGGTCAGAGAGAAAGCTCCCCCTCCCCCAGCTTAGCCACAGGGAGCAGTGTGGTGACTTGTGTACCAGCTTTAAAAACTTATAGCTGCAGAACTGTACTGTTTTTATTTAATTTAATGCCTTTTATTTTTTTGTAAATATACTTACTTTTTTTATTTCCTTAGAGAAATAACTTTTTAGGGGGAACTCATAAGAAGAAACCCGCCACAATTTAAAAAAAAAATCATTGAAAATAATGAATACATAAGGCTATATTTCATTCTTTCTCATTGCCACATAGTATTCCATTGTGTATATAAACCACAATTTCTTTTTTTTTTTAATTTTTTTTTAACGTTTATTTATTTTTGAGACAGAGAGAGACAGAGCATGAACGGGGGAGGGGCAGAGAGAGAGGGAGACACAGAATCAGAAGCAGGCTCCAGGCTCTGAGCCATCAGCCCAGAGCCCGATGCGGGGCTCGAACCCATGGACCGCGAGATCGTGACCTGAGCTGAAGTCGGACGCCCAACCGACTGAGCCACCCAGGCGCCCCTAAACCACAATTTCTTCATCCATTCATCAGTTGATGGACATTTAGACTCTTTCCATAATTTGGTTATTGTTCAAAATGCTGCCACAAACATTGGGGTACAAGTGCCCCTAGGTATATGGCCTTTTGTAGCAACGTGGATGGAACTGGAGAGTGTTATGTTAAGTAAAATAAGTCATACAGAGAAAGACAGATACCATATGTTTTCACTCTTAAGTGGATCCTGAGAAGCTTAACAGAAGACCATGGGGGAGGGGAAGAAAAAAAAAAAAAAAGAGAGGGAGGGAGCCAAAACATAAGATACTCTTAAAAACTGAGAACAAACTGAGGGTTGGTGGGGGGGTAGGAGGAGGGGAAAGTGGGTGATGGGGGAGGGCACCTGTTGGGATGAGCACTGGGTGTTGTATGGAAACCAATTTGACAATAAATTTCATATTAAAAAAAGAAAAAATAATGAATACAGAACCAGAATGCTGAACACTTTTTTTAAAAAGTAAAAGTACATGCTCCTGTAACCTAAAATCATCTCACTTGCCACTTTGGGAAATGAGCAAACCAAATGGCTGAGACTCAAGACTCACTCCTCCCAAAGCTACCCGCATGGGTATTCTCCCCACTATTGCTTCTCCCTTCCTACTGATCCCCTGTGGTTTATATGTGGGAGAGTCAGGTTGAATGACAGTGCTCGAGAAGGGCATTGCTGTAATGTGCAAGATAAGATTTCCCATAAAGGGATAAGACCCATGCGAGGGCCCTGCGGTGGGAAAGAGTATGTGCTTTCAGGGAGGATGCAGGAGTGAAGACACCTAAGGGGGGGGCAGGCTTGAAATGAGGCTGCTGCAGGCAGTGGGTTAAAAATTTTTAATTTGGCTCCTTAAAATTAAAAATTAGGGCTCTTTTCTATGGCAGTATGAAGCTACCACAGGGTCTTTAGGGGGGCAGAGTGTGTGGAATAAAGCTGCCCTTGCAGTTGTGCAGAGAAGGGATTGGAGGGGGCAAATGTGGGTGCAGACAACTGGGGGAGGCCCTGGCAAAGGCCATCTGGGACCCGCTGGCCCAGAGTGAGATGGTGATGATGGTGGAGGATGGAAGGATAGAACTCTAAGAAACGTTTACAAAGCAAAAAGAGCAAGACCTAGTACTCGTTGGACCTTGGTCACGTTGGTGGGGAGGAGGGGATCAGGTGTGGCTTCAGCATCTGTCTGACAGGGCTTTCTGGATGGTGGCAAAATACACCAGATAAGAACTAGAGACTAGAGAGAGCATGTGGAGTTTGGTTTTAGACAACATGACCTTGAAGTTGCTATGGCGTGACATCTAAAGAATGATGTCTCCAACTCGGGTACATGGGTCTAGAGCTAGGAAGAAAAGTGGGAACTGTAATAGGAATTTGAGACTTGTTAGCCTGTGATTGTCCAGGCTGGTGGTGTCTACCAGCCTCCCCTTGTCACTGTGATCTTGATTATGTGAGCTGATGTGCCTCAGGACCTTTGCATGTGTACCAGTTAGCACATTCAACAGGAACTATAAGTTCAACTACCAGTTAAAGATTGGACTGAGAATTCCTCCTCTAAAATGAAGCCAACTATGTTGTATGTTTTTATGCTAAAAATTGAGTTACAGATTTTTTTTCTCATCTTTCTTTGTCCTCTTTCTCCTTCTACCTTCTCTTCCTCCTTTTCCTCCTCCCTTTACTTCTTGGCTTCTCCTTCTCTCATTTTTTCCCATCCTATCCACTATGGTGGCATGTGGGAGCCTGCACTGACATTTTGTATGGGCACAGTGCCATAACAGAAAGGTCACCCTATGGGATTTACTTTCTACCACCCAAGTGCAGAGTAAAGGGACACTTTTTATAAGCCATTAAGAGGTGACTGTCTTTCATTTTACATAGGCACATGCTGCTTATAAACAGATTTAGGAACCAAAGATGCATCCTTAAGTAGAGAACACTTATTATTTATAAGTCTTATTTATGCAGTTAGATTAATGTTTTCAGTTCTGGAGAAATTTCACATGCTAATCACTTTTTGTTAATTTTAAAATTATTTTTTTTTAATTCTAGTCATCTTTTCCCCTCTAATTAATGCTGATTTATTTTGATTTTCCTGGTAATAGATTACTGTCCTAGATGAGACATGGACCGTATTCAGGCGCTACAGTCGCTTTCGAGAAATGCATAAAACATTGAAGTTAAAGTATGCAGAGGTAAGTTATGAAATAATTATCTCCAATTAAGAACATTTATTTTATAAAGTAAATGAGCTGATTGCATTATCATGCTCCCCTCCCTTTAGGTATTAGCTTGTAAGTGTCACCGAGTTTTGTTGCAATTACGCATCTGTCAAAGGTAGCTTTTTAACTTTTGTTCTTTGTTTCATTTCTGTTCTACACAATTTAAACATTTTCTGAACACAGGATTTTGAAAGTGATAGTAAAGTGACAGTAAATGAATTCTACCCTTTTAATACATTTTACCAATTTTAAACAAATATTTTAATAAACTTACAACTTCTTAATGGTAAGATCTACTAAAATGAAACAGTAATAAATCCCTCAATATAGATTTGCCCTTTTTTTCTCTTAAAAAAGATATATCAATGCTTAGACTTCCACTTAATGAGAAATTAGGTCTTTAAGGTTAATTTGCCATCAAACATGGCTGGGAGGTAGATAGTCAATATGGAATTCTCTAGAAGCAAGGGGGTATTTCATACATCTGATCAGATATCCAGAGTGTATTGATACATTATTAATCTTTTCCTCTTTGGGCAAAGACTAGTTTTTAAAATCCTTCTTCTTTTTTTTTTTTTTTTTTTTTTTAGTATTTTTATTTATTTTTGAGACAGAGAGAGAGCATGAGCAGGGGAGGGGCAGAGAGAGGAGACACAGAATCCGAAGCAGGCTCTAGGCTGTGAGCTGTCAGCACAGAGCCTGACGCGGGGCTCAAACTCATGGACCGTGAGATCGTGACCTGAGCTGAAGTGGGTCGCTTAACTGACTGAGCCACCCAGGTGCCCCTAAAATCCTTCTTAACAAAGAAAAGTATTCTTAAAGTTAATGTGTATCTTCCAAGTGAGTGAGTGAGTGAGGGAGTGTTTTTACTTGAACTAAAGGAAGCCTTGTATCTGCACAACTCTTTGGGAATTTTGGTTTGAACTGACTGCAAATCAGTCAGTAGTCATTGTCTAATATCTGCTCTCACTAAGTATTGCTTTTCGACACTATTTTTATAGTTTCTTACGACAGCCTAGAAAAGAATTTAGTCAGACATTTTCCCCTCACATCAAATAACTAATGCTTCCTTAACCTTTCCATGGCTCTTACTCTTTCCTATCTGATATAAATATAAAGAGAAATTCCTTTTTATAAATAAAAGCTTCCTTGAGTACTGGGAATTGAGGTATCCGAAATTCTCTTGTTAAGCTCTTAGGTAGCAGTGAATTAAAAGCTGAAGAAGTGGCGAATTTGGATTTTAGTTCAGTGTTCCTCAAGAGGCTTCAGTTCCAGAAGTAACTGCATCAAAGTCAAGTTATTGAGTTTGTTTCTGCAATTACTCTTCATGTCCCAAGTTAATATTGACAATAAAAATTGGAAGTATCATGTACATATTACCGTATAGAGTGACTTGTTTTTAAATTGAGCTTTGCAGCTCATTACCTGCTTAATTATAAGTTACTCCACCAGTGCTTTAATAATGTGCAGGTTTTCCCCAATGCTACAAATGTATGTATATCATATCAATTATAATACGTGTGTATCATGCATTGCAGGATTTATTTCATATCTGTTCTTTCAGTGCCATTAGTTCAGCGCCATTGTATGTAGGCAGATTTAATACATTCTAGTAATAGAGTGGTGGACAAGAACAAAAATGTCTTCTCTTACGTATCCTGAATTCATATGGGGACACACTGACAATAAACAAGGAAAATATAATAACTAACACTTAACATACACGCAACACTATGTGACAGTTACCATCTTAAGTGAGCTGCATGCCTTCTAGGAAAAATATCCATAAAATGTAATGGGCAGAAGATGTTGGGCATTTTAGTATAAAGGTTGTTTCAGGGTTGGGCACTCAGATGCCGAGTCCTGATCAGTGTTCTTAAAGAAAATTTCAAAGCAAACAGAAGCAGTCTTTAAAAACATAATGGAAGAGGGGCGCCTGGGTGGCGCAGTCGGTTAAGTGTCCGACTTCAGCCAGGTCACAATCTCGCGGTCTGTGAGTTCGAGCCCCGCGTCAGGCTCTGGGCTGATGGCTCGGAGCCTGGAGCCTGTTTCCGATTCTGTGTCTCCCTCTCTCTCTGCCCCTCCCCTGTTCATGCTCTGTCTCTCTCTGTCCCAAAAATAAATAAACGTTGGAAAAAAAAAAAAAAAACATAATGGAAGAAAACACCCCTGAGGTTAAACATGATGTAAGTATGTAAGTGGAAGAGATTGCCTGGTAGCTGGCAACATTAACGAACACAGATTGTCACATATGTGATAATCCTTTTCAAGGGCAGAAAGAGTGTACTTACCTGCTGAAAAAAGTTAAGTGAGCTTCGAATGAGGAAAATCAGGCTGGTCTCCTTCATCCAGTCAGTCACAAGTCTGTATTGAACCACCCCACACTGAATACCATTGTCGGCAAGACAGCCACATCCCCTCCTCTCAGGAAGCAGAGAGAATGAACAGTAAACAAACAAACCAACAAATAAGATAGTTTTAGATAATGTTAAGTGCCATGGAGAGAATAAAACAAGGTAGTGTGATCGTGTGGCATGAGAGCTAGGCAGGCCTGGGGAAATCTTAATGTTGAAAAGGAGCCAGGCATGAACATCTGGGGTAGACACATCTGAAGTAAAGGGAACAGCAAATGCAAAGGCCCTGGGGTGGGACCACGCCTGTTGGCCAAGCATGTTCCAAGAATAAAAAGTCCTGTGAAAAGTGGCAAGTGTGGTAGAGGTGAGGACAGGGAGGTAGGGACAGGAAGTAGGGACTGTATCATGTATCACTTGATCACAAGTATTGTGGGAAACCACTGAATGATATTAAAGAAGGTCTGGATGTGGAAACTAAGCTGGAATTTCCATTCTATCCATGTATGACTTCCCATACAAACCCTTTTCCTGAAGGCAGGCTCACGATCTAACTGATAACCAAGATTGGAAATTGCTTTTCCTTGTTTTGAGTCCAACTTGGTGACTTTGCCTTCTTCTGAGGGCAAAAAATGTAAAGAACTTACACATGTATGCATGTGTTTGAAAGAGAGGAGGTAATGTGAGTAGTGATTTGAAACCATGTGGTGAGATCCTAAAATAAACACCGCCTGTAGAAAGGGAGGTTGTAATTACAAAGCCTGAGGGGGCGCCATTGAGCTTTACAGTAGCCACACTCTGACTGGTTTCCTCACCATTGACTGAGTGCTTCCCATGTCCTGGGTCTTGTGTTATGCTTTTGCCATTCAGGACCCTGTGGTCGGAGCCAGAGACTTGCCTCCTGTCACACACCTGGTGGGCAGAAGCCAGTCTGGAAGCACAGGCAATTGGGCTCCATTTACTATCTCTAAACAAACAATAGTATAAAAATAGAAATGGGGGGAAAACATTATCTGTAAAAAGGCAGCAGCATGTCATTGTAGCTCTAGATAAATCTTATTTCAGTGAAAGGAGAACGACATTGCCCAGTTAACATTTTCAAGATGAAGCTTAAATGTCAAGTTGAATATCAGCTGTATTTTCTTCCATAAAGTTGATTTTTCTTTTGCGCAGCCTACCTTCACATACTCTTACGTGCTAAGTGTTTGTGGAGACTTGAGATCAATAATGTTCATTAGGTATTCAACAGTTATGATTGCTCTTATCATTGTGCATATTGTTGACGTCTCTGTACATAACGTTAATCTTACTGAAGTAATCATCTATCTCCAAATGGTCTACTTGGCCTGTCGGCATCCTAGAAATCATTTGACTTGTTAAAGACGTAACTTCTTCAGGAAGGCCCAAAGGTTCACATAGAAGGATGCTGAAAATTTCCTCTCACAGATAACTGTTTCATAGCCAAGTGGGAACATATTTTATTTACCTCACTCCTTCACCAAATTGGGGTCATTATTTCGATAGAAGTATGAAACTCCTCTTGTTCTTTTAGTTACAAGGGTAACAAGATGGTCGATTATTTTTTTTTTTTTGTAATGATACATACTAAATTTACCAAGTTATACAAGGTTTCAAATTTTTAATCAAGCTGAAAAATATATTGAAAAAATACCCTTGAATTCAAAAATACATAGGCTTTGTAATTACTTGCCAAGATGGAGAATCTTTGTTCACCTTGAAACTTTAGTTTGGGTTGTAGCTTATAATCTTTTGGAACTTTGAATTATATCCTGTTCATTCACATTTTCTTCTGGCATTTTAGCCCTGTTTTTCCTGGGGGATATACCTCTACAGGAGTTTGATATAACAGTTCTTCTTAAGGCTATTTTCTTTTTTCTTTCAGTATTTTTTTTTTTTTTTCAGATAATAAGTCACACGTGTATGGTAAAAGATTGAAGTCATTCAAAGAGGTATACATAGAGTGTGAAAGTTTCTCTTAATCTGGCCCTCAGAAGCAATCATTTGCAATGCCCTCAGGAGTTCTTGGGTCCAGCTAAACATTCGTACTTACAGGACTTGCATAGGCCATACCTAGCGTTGATTGACCTGAGGAAGGTATAAGACAAATATCACTGCTTCCAGCAGAGTACCTATAAGAGACCTGCTGAGCTATAAAAGAAACCTCACTCAGAGAAGCCTGAATCTACGACTTCACACCAGATAGCTATCACTTCCCTAGTCTATACAAACAGTTTGTCAGCTTATCAAGTGATTGATCATTTTGCTAGGAGCAGTGGTGTCTACTAACAAAGTTGGCGTACCACCTTATCAGATTCGCAGATTCCTCTTCATGGACATAGGGGTAGTTTCCAGATTTTTGCTGCTGTGACCGCTTCTTTGTGGACATTCTTAAAGGTAGCTGCATGACTTCCAATTCACACATGCATACTTCCCTTGTGAAGAAATTGGGTAATTGCTCAACTGTTTTTAAAGACTTAATTTATGAAGAACCAAGATTAGGAAAAGAACACACAAAACTTGGGTTGACTGAGAGCCCCGAGCCTTACCCCCAAGTAGTGGCAAGGTTTTAAGAATTCCTTAACCATCATTCAGCTACATCTT